GGCAAAGGAAAACCTTTCTCTCTGTCTCTCTCTCTCACTGTCCACTCTGCCTATTAAAAAAAAAAAAAAAAAGGTGAATATACTGTCTAAAATTCTTAGATGGTGGGCCTTGACCATCTTTGGATTTGCCATTCCGTTTTGACTTTTTTCATAGTGACTCTCAAGCTGTGTGTGTGTGTGTGTGTGTGTGTGTAATCATTTGTAACTTTTGTTACAGCACAAATCTGAATTTTCAAACTGAGGTGTAGAGCACTTAGATTCTTCCACACAGGAGAGTAATGAAGAGCACAGATTCTGTTCTCAGACCTCCTGGGTTTGAATCCCAGCTTCAGTACTAATAGCTAAGGGATTGTATCCAGTAGGCAGCCTCACTGTCCCCTTATTCCTAGAGTGGGAAGAATCCCAGAACTTCCTTCATATGGTGGTGGCCACAGCTAAATGAGAGGATGTCCCTGGAACACTTAGCACAGGGCCTGGTGTGTGATAAACAGTCACAGGACGTTAGCTGTTGTTGCCATTGTTAATATTATTACATTACTTAGCTTGTGAATTAGCCTGGCCCAGCCCTTATAGCACTGCGACTTGGTTTAGATTTGGTCTTTGTTCATTTCGTGAGAGACACAAATATGGCACAATTGGGTCAGGTGTTCTGGCAATGTTTCAGGGTGCATTCCTTTTGAAAGTCATGGGAATGTGTATTTTTAAATTCCCCACCCTCAAGTCTAGCACTCTTGTAGATGCTATCTTTTTTTCAATAGCTGATTTTACTGTCACATGGTGAAAACTGTAAAAGTCATCTGGCTTCTTTTGAGAGTTTTTTATATTCTGCACAGAAATAATTGAGCTTTAAAACAAATCTATAAATGATACCTTACCAGTGGGCTAACTTCTCTCCTTGATTTTATATATATATATTCCCTCCTTGATTATAGATATAAACTAGTATATTAGAATTTATGCCTTACAGAAATATCAGAAATGACAAATATGAATGTATTTCTTTAAGTTTCCATGTCTTCACTTATTCTTACGAAATGCAGAAATAACACTTGGATGAAAACGTGACTGAACTACCAATGACAGGAAAGAAACTATGTAATCAGCGTTAAAAAGGCACTAACAAGAACGAACGTGAATCAGAAATTAAGCAGCTGTCATGGGTTAGAATGGGCTGTGAGGTCTGGGATCACAGTTGTGAGTCTGCCCTAGCAGAGTTTAAAGTGGACTGAAGATGACCGCTATTATAGCAGCTGCTGTCAGGTTAAACCGTGTAAGAGTGCCAGCGTTCTGCCATTGTTTTGTTCCATGGTGAGTGCGTATGGCCCAACCTTGTGCTCTGAGGGATGATGTAGTATTGTGGGGACACATCTTGGGGAGCTCCTGGGGTGGCTATCTAGCAGGAGTGACGTTCACAGGTGACTGCACACAGGCTAGACAGGGAGATGGGTGAGGGTCTGAAGCGCTGTCAGCAGCATTTGCAAGGGGGGAACTGAGAGCAGATGAGACTGGTGGAGAACCAGGACGCTCGCTCTAGGCCTTGTTAAGGTTATTGACTTTATTCTAAGGGCAGTGGGAAGAGAACGTAGGCGTTTAAGCAGGAGGGCGTTAGGATTACATCGTATGTTTTGCAAAGGCCATTTTTGTCTGCAGTGGGAACTAGACTGACTGCAGTGGGGAGGCGTGGCTAGGATAAAATCAGTGAGGTGGTCACTGCAGCTGTCGGGCCGGCAGTGGACAAGATGCTTCCCAGAGTACTCTCTTACTTCATCCTTGTCCTGACGCTCCCATGCGGTATCAGCATCAGCTTGGATGGCCGGCGAGGCAGCCGAGGCCGTGGGGGTTCTGTGGAGTGCCGTGGTGCAGTGTGCAGATGGCAGAGTGAGAGACAGAGCTGGGTTGTCTGGCCCTCACCACAGTGGTCACCTGCTATCCTTAGTCCCATATTTTAGCATCCCTCGGTGAGGGTCATTGATTTATCTTAGTTTTTAAGAAACGGAATTCTCATGCCTTGGTGGAGAGTAGGGATGAGAAAGTCATTTTTAGATTTCCGACTAAGAGTATTTATCCATTCCCTGCCTCATTCCAAAACTGGATTTGAAAACGTTCCAAACTATGTACGGCATGACGAGATAGAGACAGAAGAGAGGGCAAAGGAAATCAGGACAGCAAGTAGCAGTGGTGTCCCAGATGCCCCACAAATGTTTGCCCTGGGATCCTGCCAACTGTTGACAAAGAGCTGGCGAGCAAATTTAAAAGTCACCTGTCCAGAAAAATAAAAACAAACCAGTTCTCTTTGATGTTGCTTTTCCTTCTATTGAACTCTGTGAAAATGTCTCCATTTGGTTTTAAGAATGAGCAATATCCACAACTGTTTCACTGCACAGGGTGTGGGCTGGTAAATCCATGGACCGTTTAGAAACCTCTCTACTGGGGCCAGCGCGGTGGCGTAGTAGGTAAAACTGCCACCTGTGACACCAGCATCCTATAAGGGCACTGGTTCAAGTCTTGGCTGCTCCATTTCCAATCCAACTCCCTGCTAATGGCCTGGGAAAGCAAAGGATGGCCCAAGTGCTTGCCCCCTGCACCGTATGGGAGACCTGGAAGAAGCTCCTGGCTTGGGATCAGCCCAGCCGTGGCTGTTAAGGCTATGTGGGGAGTCAACCAGAAGATGGAAGAGGCCGCTCCCCTAACCCCTCTCTGTCTCTCTCTCTCTCTCTGCCCCCTCCCTCCCGCTCTTTCAATTAAATAAATCAATAATTTTTTAAAAACTTCCATTTAATTCTATTTTCCAAGAGCTTTTTTTTTTTTTTAAAGATTTATTTATTTATTAGAAAGGCAGAGTTAGAGAGAAAGAGAAAGAGATCTTCCATCTACTGGTTCACTCCCCAAATGGCTGCAATGGCCGGAGCTGGGCCAGTCCAAAGCCAGGAGCCAGTAATTTCTTCCAGGTCTCCCACTTGGGTGCAGGGACTTGCACTTGGGCCATCCTCCACTGCTTTCCCTAGCGCATTAACATGGAGCTGGATCTGAAATGGAGCAGTGGGGACTTGAATCAGCACCCATGTGGGATGCCAGCACTACAGGTAGCAGCTTAACTCGCTATGCCACAACACCATCCTAATAAACAAGTCTTAAAACAAAGAAATAAAAAGAAACTACTCTGTCTCTCTAGGCTGTGCCCCTCAACTCTTCACATATTTCCGTCTGGCCTGCGCTTGTCAGTAGGCGGGTTCCTTCACAGTGAAGTCAAGCGTTGGGGCTACAGCTGGGCTCCACAAACTCCGGTACCAGGGTGTGTGGGCTTTGCGTGAAGGTTTCTGTGACTGAACGATGTAGCTATTATGCTTTTATTGTGTTTGGGATCCTTCTAGAATGCCAGATTTCTCTGGAAGGAAACAAATGAACCCAAGTGTTGTATTTTGGGGAAATTTTCTGTTATTTGAATAGCGGTGAGAGGCCCATCAGTGAGGCTTTTTTCCCTATTGCGATGGAGCACTGAACTACAAGGATTCTGTGTTTCCATATTAACAATTTACTTTCAGTTTGGAGTTTACATGTACACTACCACCTTACATTCGCAAGGGGCAGTTTTTCCACTATAAAGAGAAAACTCATAATTTTATACAATAAGTGCCTGGAGTGGAGTTTTATAAATATTTGCTTTGTCTCTACAACTGCCAGGGATTTTCTCCACCTTGTGGATATGGAAACCAAGGCTTCGGAAAAGTTGAATACAGTTGTTAGCTACTAAATGAGGGATGCAGGAATGACTGGAGAGGGGGAGTGAGAGAGAGAGAGAGAGATCTTCCTTCTACTGGTTCACTCCCCAAATGTCTGTTGTCTCTTCTGCATACAATGTATTTCAAGATACACCTTCTTGTACTTGGATTATTTATTGTCATCGTTTTTATCAAACACTGATGTTGCTTTTTGCAGAGTTGGGTAAGGGTTACATGCATTGAGAAGTAAACAGTTTAATAACTATTGCTCTGTAATTTATTTATTGAACAGATCATTGATAATCAGAACAAAAACCAGGTCTTGATCAAGTGTTATCGATGGGCACTTATTCCAATTTAAAGCTAGATACGGCAGAATAATTTTCAGCTATAGCTGATCTCATTTAATCTAGGGGCTTCCAAACTGCTCTGTGGAGTCCCAAAGGTCCTATAATGTCTCTTGGGACTGTGGTGGCTGATCGCACCCCTTACATCCACTTCATTTTATTAGTTTTATTTGTTTCTGTATCTTGTAAACTTTTGGTGGAAGAAAGGCTGCAAAAACTAAGAAAGGGAGAGGGGTAGATGTTTAAAAAAATTTTAAGTGTGAAAATCACAGGTAATCCAATTATCTTGAACTTTCAATCCTTTGGGTTGGAGTATCTTCTATATCATGACTTTAAGATTATACTAGAGCCCCGAATCTTTTTTTTTTCCTTAGGCTTCTCCTTTGAAGAACATCTTCCATAGAGTCTCAACTATACATTTTAGGACAGAGTAGAAGCCTTCATATTGACCATGGCTAAGGCTTCTCATTGACCACCCTTGGTGGTGGAGGAGTGGGGTTCTCATTTCAGTGGTCTGGGGACCCCCTCTGGACCACACAGAAGGAGTGTGATGGTCTGGTGGTAACGTATACCATGAGGTGGGGAGTGCCAGGAGCTGCACAGTTACACCGTTGTGTGAGTCTGAATGCATAAACTATGGGCTGCATCTGTATTTCTTTCTAAGCATCGAGTGTATCTCAAAATCATAGGTGCTCTAAACACGAGAGATGGGGAAAATGGAAGAAATTGGTCATTTTCTTATCACTATCCTCTGTTTCTTCAAATATGGGGCAAAGGGTTGCATTTCTTGGTTTGTAGAGAATATGGTAAATTAGAGTAATGGTACCTCATTTTCTGACGAAAATGTTCTCCCAGTTTCTAATGTACTTGTGCAAGTTACATAGACATCGCAGACATTTTAAGCTTTGTTTTGTTTGTGTTTTGGACACTTTAGGATCTGCTGCAAGGGGCACTCCAGAAATTGAGTAGAGAGTCTCAGGCGAGCTCCCTGAGTTTTCCTGTATAATCGTGTTCTGCATTGCATAAAGAATCAGACGCACCCAGTTGGTGGTTTTGGGTGAGTACAGACCTCCAAGAGTCCTTTTGCTTTCCCACTTAAGCAAGAGCAAAAATTTTCGTTCCTATCAGTCGGGATATCTACTGCTTAGACAGCATGTGCCTGGTATGTGTTTGTGTGGAAACATCAGTGCTGCATAAGCCGTTTGGAACCCACACGCTACGAGTTCTTATTTCTTTGTATGCATTACATCTTTGTGGCCTTACGAGGAAAACACCGGCCTCTGTATGCGTGTGTGAGTACCTTAGGGGTTGAGACAAGAAATAACTGGGCATTTGCTTACAAATCGGCCACCTAACCCCCTTTGCCAGGTGCCACCGTGTGGGATGCAGAAGCCACACTGGGACTCACAGTGGTCGTGTCTTGTGTTTTTGAGTAGCCCTCGTGCCATCTCTCAGTTTCTCTTTCCTCTCCTCTCGTGTATGGTACGAGTAACTGTCATACCAAACTGTGCAGTTCATGACAAGCCAATGAATTATGCGTAAAAGCATTGTGACAGCCGCCTTCTTCCCTGCCAGTAGAAGGTAGGGGTGTTGTTCTGTGGGTGATAATCCTACGCCATGACGAGGGAGGAAGGGATGAAGGGAAGAGGCAGTTATGTCAGTCAAACCTTGGCCCAGCCCTCCCTTGCCACAGCCGCAGCCTGTGCATCCCCGGAAGCTGCAGGCGTAGGTCCCCCGTGCATCACGGAGAGGCTGCTGGTGATACTGATAGGCCCAACAACCTCCCCAGACAAAAAGCATCCCTCTTTCATAGCCTCGTGGCTGAGTTGTGGATTTAGTCCGTTGAATTCAGGGATTCAGAGAGCTGAATTCGTTAAAATTATAAATTATTATCTTCTTATAAAAGCATATTAATTGAAGGGAATCTGGGAATTACAGAGAAATATAATATCTACCCATAATCTCACAATCTAAAAATAAACATCAATAGCATTATGGAAAATTTACTCTTATTTTTTTAGTTTAATTTTGGTATCTTTAAATGTTATTTAGCAAGGTCAATCTAATTAAAAACACTAAATAGCTATTCTAAGCCTACGACTGTGCCATAATTTATTAACTAGTTGCACACTGTTGAAAATTTGTGTTTATTACATTCCATGTAAATACAGTCTGTTGTGTTCATGGCATTGTGTTTTAAATACCAGTGTAGTGACTGCCTGTGGGCTTTAATCTCCACATTTTTATAAATGGAATTGTTAGAGTAATGACAGTGAACTGTTTCGTGTAAGCTCAAAAGCTCTTGCTCTTGTCATCTTGTCCTCCTGAAAGATGCCAGCTTACACCCAACCTGTCACCCATCTCCACCCTCCTGTGTAGTAACGTTCATTTTACTGTGTTCTCGTAACAGCTGAGTAATATGGACTAAGTTGTGAAAGCATATACCCAGTATTCCTATAGCAACTCTGAAAATAAAGGCCTGTCGTGTCTCCTTTACACGCCCTACCCTTAACCAAAATCAAGTCTGTGAAGCAGAGCCCTAGACTGTTGGATCTGCCTCTGGGGCGGGGCAGATGTGAGGCCTCCATTCATTCCTGTGGTGCTCATCGGTACTGCTCTGCCATTTCCATGGCCTGTGCAGCGTCAGAACAAAACCAGCTCTTCTCGCCATCTGAGAACCTCAAAATTCAGTTGGTGAATCCAAGCAGCAAACTCAAAAGTCCATAGTCTCAGATGGGCCTTTGGCATTCTCTTGCCCTATTTCTTCTTTTTTTTTTTTATTTTTTTTATTTTTTTTTATTTTTGACAGGCAGAGTGGACAGTGAGAGAGAGAGACAGAGAGAAAGGTCTTCCTTTGCCGTTGGTTCGCCCTCCAATGGCCGCCGCGGCCGGCGCGCTGCAGCCGGCGCACCACGCTGATCCGATGGCAGGAGCCAGGAGCCAGGTGCTTTTCCTGGTCTCCCATGGGGTGCAGGGCCCAAGCACCTGGGCCATCCTCCACTGCACTCCCTGGCCACAGCAGAGAGCTGGACTGGAAGAGGGACAACCGGGACAGAATCCGGCGCCCCGACCGGGACTAGAACCCGGTGTGCCGGCGCCGCTAGGCGGAGGATTAGCCTAGTGAGCCGCGGCGCCGGCCTGCCCTATTTCTTCTTTAAAGGGGGAGGCTGGATTTGAAACCTCTTCATCTCCAAAGTGGTTTTCAGTTTACCATAAATATACATATAATATACATATTTATATACATGCATATATATTTACACACACACACACGTGGTGCGGGTAACAGTGAGGATTATGCTGCAGATGGCTAAAAGTGTGAACAGTGGGTTGGGCTGTGTAGCTTTTGTGAGTTGGCAGTGAAAGCACTTGGTTGTCTAAGAAAGACAAGTTTCCTGCAGTAAATACCAGGAAGGTCTTTTCCAAGTTTACCCCTTTTTTTGGTTTTATTTTAAACATAAAGGTAAAGTTACGCAAAAATCCTTTGAGAGGACGTGTATGATTTTGAGATGACAGTGCTATCATTCTGTCATTTGTAAGTAGTAGATTAAAAAATACCAAATTCTGGAAACCTCCAAAGCAAGGGAAGGGTCCCTGGGCTTTACAGAGAGCGAGGTAGAATGGTGAACTGACTCTTGAAGATTGTAAATATTGTTTCTGATCATCTCCCTTGGTCTAGTGCCCTTCTCTCTCTCTCTCTCTCTCTCTCTCACACACACACACACACACACACACTCCACACTTGCACTGACTGTGCAATTTCTATCAGGTTTTCCAAGTTTGGAACTCAACAAACAAGTTCAAGGAATAACTATTTGAGCTCATGAATATTTAGGAGTCCTTCAGCCATGACCACTTAGTCCTACCAGAAATGTGAAAATTGTGCAACTGAACCACTGAGCTGGATGGCACAATTTCATGTGTGTGTGTGTGAGAGAGAGAGAGAGAGAGAGAGAATGTGATTTATTATTTGAAAGGCAGAGAGAGAGAGAGAGAGAGAGAGAGAGAGAGAGAGAGAGAGAGATTGACCTTCTGTCCACTGGTTCACTCCCCAAATGCCCACATTTGGGATGCAAGAGCTGGACCTGACTGAAGCTGGGAGCCAGGAGCTCACACCTGGCAGGAATCCGAGCCCTTGGGCTGTCGTCTGCGGGCTCCCAGGCCCATCAGCAGGAGGCAGGATCTGAAGCAGAGGTGTGGGACCTGATCCCTGGCATCCCAGGTGTACTTTCCAATCCCAGCAAGTCTTGCTAAAGGCATGTATCCTCCAGTTAAGCAAGCAACACCACACTCACGCACAGCACTTGTTCTGAGTTGCTCTTCCTCTCGAGGTGGGCTGCGGGGGTTTCCCGCAGACAGGTGGGAGAAGCTGAAGCATTTGGGGACTGCGAGGACACAACAGTGAGGTGTGGCTGGGCCCAGCAGGCCCTTGCCGTAAACGTGTTTGGTGATGTCCCTATCCAAAGTAGAGGGAGAGGGGTTTTCAGCTAAGAAAACTGTGTGCGTGCGTGCGTGTGCACATAGATTTGGCAGCAGTGGTAAGGAGAGAGGACACAATGAATGTGGTTGTGAATGGTGAGCTACAGTAGATACAATTATCTTGCATAAAAATATATTATTTGTTGGCTGGCGCCGCGGCTCACTAGGCTAATCCTCTGCCTTGCAGCGCCGGCACACCGGGTTCTAGTCCCAGTCGGGGCGCCGGATTCTGTCCCGGTTGCCCCTCTTCCAGGCCAGCTCTCTGCTGTGGCCAGGGAGTGCAGTGGAGGATGGCCCAAATGCTTGGGCCCTGCACCCCATGGGAGACCAGGAGAAGCACCTGGCTCCTGCCTTCGGATCAGCGCGGTGCGCTGGCCGCATTGGAGGGTGAACCAACGGCAAAGGAAGACCTTTCTCTCTTTCTCTCTCTCACTGTCCACTCTGCCTGTCAAAAATAAATAAATAAATAAATAAATAAATAAATAAATAAAAAAGATGAGCCACAATTATATGGGCAAACTGTGGTCCCAGTCCTGGTTTGTTTTTGCCAGGATTTAAATGAGCTTACAATGTAAAGTGTGAGGGCCTGTCCTCCCTGGCAGAATTTTGAGATGGAAGAAGGGACTGCAGGCTGGGTCAGCCACCCCACCTCATCCAAAGTTCACTGCGAGCTACTGGCCATCACTGTAGCCCAGCGCTAACACAAGACTCTTCCTATGAGCGAGATTCTCAGACAGACTGTCCATAGGAGCGGCAGTTGAGTGCCTAGAGTCCCAATAAATTAGTGTTAAGTCTGTTAAGGCTGTGACCCAAGCCATCCACTTCTTGGTAAACTGGTTTAGGAGGGGTAGACTCTGGGGGAGGCTGTGTAGGTCCTTGTTTTCTCTTGGCCATAAACAGGGAGTTAGAGACGGGGGAAATACCCAAGCCAACTAAATTTTCTGATGTAGAATGAGATAAGGTAGGCCAGGCTTTCTAAAAACAATTTGCGCCACTGGCTCACTATATGTCCCATGAAGCTCCAAAGTCTCTTTACACTTTATTAACTCAAAGAATATACAGTATTTCCCCGTGAGACTGCGCATAAGTAATTAGCTCAAAACCGGGGTATTTTCCCTCAGACATTACTTTTCTCTTTGAAATATTAACTCCAGGAGCACACAGTGAAAGTGCAGAGTGCATAGGACAGGAGCAGCAGTTAAACCCCAATGGCAGGCCCAGGTTTGGACTTTTCTACTTGGAAAATCCTAAGTTTCCTGATACTTGAGCATTTCATTCTTTTTTGTTTTTCAATGACTTATTTATTTGAAAAAGCAGAGTTACAGAGACAGAATCTTCCAACTGCTGTTTCACTCCTGAAATAGCCACTACAGCCAGAACTGGGCCAGGCTGAAGCCAGGAGCTTCTTCCGAGTCTCCCAGCTGGGTGCAAGGGACTTGGGCCATCCTCCAGTGCTTTTCCAGGCAGATGAGCAGGGAGCTGGATAGGAAGTAGAGCAGCTGGGAATTGAACCGGCACCCATATGGGATGCTGGCATCGCAAGTGGCAGCAGCTTAACCACCTATGCCACAGCACCAG